CCAGTGTGTGTGGGAGTCAGTGTGCAGTGACCCAGTGTGATCCAGTGTGTGTGGGGGAGTCAGTGTGATCCAGTGTGTGTGGGAGTCAGTGTGATCCAGTGTGTGTGGGAGTCAGTGTGACCCAGTGTGTGTGGGAGTCAGTGTGACCCAGTGTGCAGTGATCCAGTGTGATCCAGTGTGTGTGTGGGAGTCAGTGTGCAGTGACCCAGTGTGATCCAGTGTGTGTGTGGGAGTCAGTGTGTGTGTGGGGGTGTGTGATCCAGTGTGTGTGGAGGTCAGTGTGATCCAGTGTGTGTGGAGTCAGTGTGACCCAGTGTGTGTGTGAGTCAGAGGAGGAGTGTGATCCAGTGTGTGTGGGAGTCCAAGTGTGACCCAGTGTGTGTGTGTGTGTGTGGGGAGTCAGTGTGGCAGTGTGTGTGTGTGTGTGGTGGTGTGCTCGGAGGTGTGTGTGGGGAGTGTGGATGTGATCCAGTGTGTATGTGGGAGTCAGTGTGATCCAATGTGTCTGGGAGTCAGTGTGATCCAGTGTGTGTGTGGGAGTCAGTGTGATCCAGTGTGTGGGAGTCAGTGTGACCCAGTGTGTGTGGGAGTCAGTGTGACCCAGTGTGTGTGGGAGCCAGTGTGACCCAGTGTGTGTGTGTGTGTGGGAGCCAGTGTGATCCAGTGTGTGTGGGAGTCAGTGTGACTCAGTGTGCAGTGACCCAGTGTGATCCAGTGTGTGTGTGGGAGTCAGTGTGATCCAGTGTGCAGTGACCCAGTGTGATCCAGTGTGTGTGTGGGAGTCAGTGTGATCCAGTGTGTGTGGGAGTCAGTGTGACCCAGTGTGTGTGGGAGTCAGTGTGATCCAGTGTGTGTGGGAGTCAGTGTGATCCAGTGTGTGTGGGAGTCAGTGTGACCCAGTGTGTGTGGGAGTCAGTGTGACCCAGTGTGCAGTGATCCAGTGTGATCCAGTGTGTGTGTGGGAGTCAGTGTGCAGTGACCCAGTGTGATCCAGTGTGTGTGTGGGAGTCAGTGTG